CCAAAGGGCACGGTCTTGCTCACCCGCTCTGCTCACTCCGACTCCCGCGTCATGGAGTTCGCAGTGTAAAACCCCCCCCTCCAATATCGGAAACAAATTTCGCACCAACAACAAGCAGCGCTACAACTTCTGCAACAACAGCGAAAACCCCTGCAACTCAAAGTACCACGACGTCAACGACTACAGCGAGTACAAAAACAACAACCTCGGAAAGTGCCAAAGCGGCAACGGCCACACAGACTGGAATGGATCGCTACATCCAAATTAAGCGCAAGCTTAGCCCGCAGAGTAATCCGGCAGGCAACAAAACAAAAATTAACCGTGTCCTGAATATCGATAATGAACCAGACAGATCCACTACTAACAGATTTGCCCTACTGGCGGAGGCTGAGGAAAACCAACCAGCCCAAGACACCGCAAAAAAACCCAAGCCCCCTCCAATCTATATTAGGGAAAAAAGCTCGAGTGCCCTGGTCAACAAAATTGCGTCGTTGATCGGGAACGGTGAAAACTTTCATGTTGTTCCGCTTATCAAAGGGAACATCCATGAAACAAAGGTGCAAACCAAGACTGAAGAGCACTTCCGAATAGTGTCAAAATATCTGGACACTGTACAGAAAAACTATTACACGTACCAGCTGAAAAGCAGTAAGGGCCTACAAGTGGTAGTAAAGGGAATAGAACCTGATGTTACCGCCGAGGAAATAAAAACTTAAGCCCTTAAAGAAAAGGGCTTCGCCGCCAAGAATGTTATTAACATTCTAAATAAAGATAAAAAGCCACAACCCCTCTTCAAGGTCGAGCTCGAGCCTGAAAGCAGGTCGCTGAAGAAGAACGAAGTCCACCCAATCTACAACCTGCAATATCTTTTGCATCGGAAAATCACTGTTGAAGAGCCACATAAACGTAACGGTCCAGTGCAATGCACTAATTGTCAAGAGTATGGACACACAAGGTCTTACTGCACACTTCGGGCTGTCTGTGTAGTCTGCGGGGACGCCCACAAGTCCGCTTGCTGCACTACAAACAAGGACAGTACCGTGAAGAAATGTGGAAACTGCGGAGGCAGCCATACGGCAAACTATAGAGGATGTATTGTGTATAAGGATTTAAGGAGTCGCATGCGTCAAGCGACCGCAACGCGCAACCAAAATCCACAGAATGCGTACGTTTCGTCAAAAACCACGCCAGACGTCTTCTTCGCCAAAGCTGCGAGATCCTCATTCGGTCCACTAAACACCACCAACGGCTTCTCCTATGCCGATGCTCTACGATCTGGAAGGGAAATTCCAATTCAGCCTAACTCTCAAAGCGCTCAACAGGCCCCAGAACAGCCACACAGCAAAACGGAAACTATGATGCTTACCCTCCAACAAAGTATGATGGAGCTTATGTCATTCATGAAAACGACCATGCAAACGCTTGTTCAAAACCAGAACATGGTGATACAGCTGCTCGTAGCACAACAGTCCAAATAATCTATGCAGGCGCTACGAATATCAATGTGGAACGCCAATGGTGTCTCACGGCATAAACTAGAATTGTCACAATTCTTGACCGAAAACCATATTGACGTTATGCTACTGGTGGAAACGCATCTTACAAGCAAATACAACTTTCATATAAGAGGCTACACAATCTACCGCACAGATCATCCAGATGGGAAAGCCCACGGCGGAACTGGAGTTCTAATCAGAGAACGAATTAAACACCATTTTCACAAAAGGTTTGCAACAAACTTCTTGCAGGCCACATCGATACAAATTCAGTCAAGCAACGGAATCCTTTCAATTGCTGCCGTTTACTGCCCTCCTCGCTTCTCAATCTCGGAAGGACAATTTATGGACTTCTACAATTCACTTGGGGATCGATTTATAGCCGCAGGAGACTACAACGCCAAACATACGCACTGGGGATCACGTCTAGTGACTCCCAAAAGAAGACAATTGTACAATGCAATTATAAATGTGAAAAATAAACTGGACTACGTTTCCCCTGGAAGTCCCACATACTGGCCAACAGACTCACGAAAGCTCCCAGACCTTATTGATTTTGCAGTGACAAAAAACATACCTCGCAATCTAATAAGTGCCAAAGCAGTCTCGGACTTATCATCAGACCACTCGCCTGTGCTTCTAACGCTTCTTCAAAGCCCAGAAATAACCGAACACCCCTTCAGTCTGACGACGACAAAAACAAACTGGCTAAAATACAAAAAGTACGTGAGTGCCCACATAGAACTCGCCCCGGATTTTAACATGGAATCGGACATCGACTACACTACGAGCGCCCTGGAAGAAGTACTCGTTGCGGCAGCTAAAATCTCTACTCCTAATGGGAAGGAAGTACACCGAAACAAACACTTCAAATCTAATCAGCAAATCGAACAGCTCGTGCGAGAAAAGAGGCGCACGCGTCGTGATTGGCAAAACAGCAGATCACCAGTTTCAAAACAACGCCTTAAGGAAGCAACCCGATCACTCGACCAGGCTCTTCACCAACAGGAAGAAAATGCACAGCTGAGGTACATCCAGAGTCTCTCGCCAACAAGCACAAAGTACCCCATGTGGAGGGCCCACCCAAATCTTAGTGCCCCAATTGAAACGACCACCCCGATAAGAAACTCTTCGGGATGCTGGGCTCGCAGCAACGAAGACCGAGCTGAAACATTCGCCACACATCTCCAAAGTGTCTTCCAGCCAAACCCAGCCTCAAATTCATTCCTCCTGCCAGTAATTCAGCCAGAGTCCTCCCCTCAGCCAGCCGCACCTCCATTCCGGCCGAACGAAATCGAAAAAGTCATAGGAGGGCTAAAACCAAAAAAGGCTCCCGGTGGTGACCTATTGACCCCAAAGATGCTGATCGAACTTCCAAAATGCGCTATAGAGGTCGTCTGCAAACTATTTAATGGAATCATTAATCTTGGCTATTTCCCAAAAAGTGGAAGAAATCCATTATTATAATGATACCGAAGCCTGGAAAAGACCACACAATTCCGTCATCATACAGACCAATAAGCCTTCTATCTTGTTTGTCTAAACTGTTTGAAAAATGCTTGTTAACCCGCATAATACCACATCTGGAAGCTTGCAATATCATCCCGGCACACCAATTTGGCTTTCGAAGAAACCATGGAACCATCGAACAAGTGAACAGATTAACATCCGAAATACGCTCAGCCTTCGAACAACGAGAATACTGCAGCGCTATTTTCCTCGACGTATCTCAAGCTTTCGACCGAGTTTGGCTCATCGGACTCATGCACAAAATTAAAACGTATTTGCCAACATACACCCACAAGCTACTGGAATCATACCTCTTCAATAGGGTATTCTCAGTGAGATGCAACGCAGCTACTTCGGGCGACTACACCATCGAAGCTGGAGTTCCACAGGGAAGCGCACTCGGGCCGTGTCTATATGTTTTGTATACTGCGGATATTCCTACGAGCGCACAACTAACAACGTCAACGTTCGCCGATGATACCGCTATCCTTAGTCGCTCCAGATGCCCAACGCAGGCAACAACCCAACTGGCTAATCATCTCACAATAGTGGAAAGGTGGCTGTCCGACTGGCGCATTAAAATAAACGAACAAAAGTGTAAACATATAACGTTTACTCTTAATAGACAAACATGCCCTCCGCTTTTACTAAACGGTATGCAGATCCCTCAAGCTAACGACGTAACGTACCTTGGCGTTCACCTTGATAGACGACTTACCTGGCGTAAGCACATCGAATGCAAAAAGATGCATCTAAAACTGAAAGCCAGCAGCCTCCACTGGATCATAAACTCACGATGGCCACTGTGCCTGGACTACAAGTTACTACTGTACAATTCAGTCCTAAAGCCAATCTGGACGTATGGCTCCCAGCTGTGGGGGAACGCGATCAGCAGCAACATAGACATCATACAGCGCGCACAATCAAAAATCCTGAGAACTATCACAGGGGCACCTTGGTATGTTCGCAACGAAAACATCCACCGGGATCTGGGCATCCTCGCAGTGAAAGACGAAATCCAGAAGCAAAAAGAGTCATACAAAGAAAAACTGTCTTCGCACCCAAATTTTCTCGCTCGGGGATTGACTCGGGTTTCTAGCGTATCCCGCCTTAGACGCAACGACCTCCCAACCCAGCAATCGATTTTTAGGGCCGTCTAACTCCGTATCAGTCAATATGACTGTTAGTTAAGTTAAAAATATAAGATTTGATACACCTCTTGTTAGTCTCGCAAAGAGAAGATTCAAGAAATAAAAGCAACGTTAAAAAAAAAAAAAAAAAAAAATGTGGTAGAAATCGTTGTAGTCCAAACGATTGATTGAACTTTAAGTAATTTGTTAGTCACCCGTTTTGAAAGTAATTCAAATCGGATTTCGGTAATGTTGAGGTAACGTGAACACCGAAAAACTAATTAGGGCAAGGGTCAAGTAGTTTATGAATGTGTCAAGAGTGTAAAAAGTAAGTGTCTAAGGCGGCCTCTTTGGGGGTCACCAAATGTAACTTAACCCGAGTAAACATCTTTAAAAGAGTCACGTTGAGTAAAATCCAATTTTTTCTAATAAAAAAATCCAATTGAGAAGATCATTTGGAAAACCAAAAAGGCTGAGTTCACTTTAAAGAGGCGAGAGGTTAAAGTAAAAGGCAAGCGCACAGAGTTAGTCGTTAATTATGTGAAAGCCACTAATCAAATTTTGAAATACACTTAGTCTGTCGCCAACTATTGCAACGAAAGTTGGGTATTGGCTATGATATTTTGATTTCAGCTTTGAGCCCGAGCATTTCTGCTCAAGGAAGTGCAGATAATTGTCGTTTTGCTGCGTAGACTAAATGTTAAATAAATCGAAGCTGTTAAAAACGGTGGCAGCTAACAGCACCCTTGGAGATAGTATTATTATTTTGGTCAAAACAAAAAAAACAACAAAGTTTTGTCTAAACAATTTATTAATTTAAGAAACTCAAATAAACGCTGCAACTAAGTATTTTTTTCTTTCACAGATTACAGCATGGTTAATTTTATAAAACCATTATACCTTGGTACCGAGCGAGAATTTGCTAATTTATATGCAAATCCTATAAAAAACGGACAACATAAAGACTCCAGCAAAAAAGACATTACTGTAATGAAGCAAAGATCGTATGTATTGCACAAGAAGCTTTCTAAATTCGTTCAGGTAATTGACTAGACTAATCTATGTAAGCGAAAAAATATTTATGGATTTGTCTTATTTTTTTTTACAGAGAAAGGAGGCCGAGCTCCTAAAAACATTTTTACCTGAGAAGTTTGAATACGTGTTGTTTATTCCGATGACCGCAGTTCAGGTATTCACATCAAACCTATTCAAAATTGTTTTAATATATTATTATACCCTTGCAGAGGGTATTATAATTTTGTCCAAAAGTGTGCAACGCAGTGAAGGAGACATCTCCGACCCTATAAAGTATATATATTCTTGATCAGGATCACCTCCTGAGTTGATATGAGCATGTCCGTCTGTCCGTCTGTCCGTCTGTCCGTCTGTCTGTTTCTACGCAAACTAGTCTCTCAGTGTTAAAGCTATCGTCTTGAAACTTTGCACACACCCTTCTTTCCTTTGCACGCAGTATATAAGTCGGAACGGCCCGGATCGGCCGACTATATCCTATAGCTGCCATATAACTGATTGATCGGAAATGGTATAACTTTGGTATTTTTAGAGTTAGAGAGTTCAAATTTTAGGTGAGAGCTATTTTTGGCAAAATAATACGACATGCCAAATTTCATAAGGATCGGCCGACTATATCCTATAGCTGTCATATAACTGAACGATCGGAAATGACCCAACTTTCGTGTTTTTGAAGATAGAAAGCTGGAATTTAGTACAGACTCTATTTTTGGTCAGTTGATCCAACCTACCAAATTTCATTAGGATCGGCCGACTATATCCTATAGCTGCCATATAACTGAACGATCGGAAATGGTATTTGGTAGAAATATCAACTTTCGTATTTTTGAAGATAGAAGCTTGGGACTTTTTTTAGATTTTGTATTGTAATAAATTGGAGTATATATTCCTATTCCCATAAGGATCGGCCAACTATATCCGATGTTTGCGATATATATCCGGTTTTAACTGCAAGGGTATATAAACTTCGGCTCCGCCCGAAGTTAGCTTTCCTTTCTTGTTATACCCTGTACTCGTATAGTTGTATCACAAACATATTCTTTTTGTGCGAATGTATATAAGAAAAAGAGAAATCATCTGCGAATTCAGAAAGTATAAGTATTTTTTATCGGCTTCAATAATTCAGCCTATAAAAACATAAAAATAAATGTCCGTCCTGCCTTTTTTCCGTAGGTTTTCGTTTTGTATTGCTATAGCTATAGCTATAGTGCAAAGCTATAGCTATAGCAATAGCAGAAAAAAGTATTCTGTGCTCCTCTTAGCCGTAGCCGTAGTCAAAAATCTAGAGCGAGAGCAAAGCAGAGCAAAATATATATTATTTATGTGCTACTGGGTCAAGTACAGCAAAAAATCTTGCCAAAGAGATTCTTTCTGTATTAGACAAATATGGAATAGCTCTGTGCCAAATCGTGTCAATTACTTCAGATAACGGGGCAAATATGATAAAGACGACGAAAATTTTATCAGAAATGAACTTGAGCGATGATGACTTGGAAGATGCCGGTATTGAAGAGAACGTCGAGTACATAAAGCAAATCGAGCGTTTTGGAAAAACTTAAAGTGCGCTTGTCGGTGATATACAAATATGTCGCTGTGCAGCAGCACACACTGCTTTGTGCTCTCGACGTGACAAAAAATGCAAATATTGGAGAATATTTGTTAATGTGCCGAAATCTTACGAAATACATTCGGAAGCAATCAAATGGTTACCGCGACTTGTTTGAACTGAAAAAGTTTAATTTACCTCAATTGTATTGTCCAACTAGATGGGGATCAACTTGCAATAGGGTGAAGCGAAAAGTATTTTAAGCCTTATTGAAACTGTAGAGTAGAAATCAAGAGATGACGATTTTATAGTAAGTGAAATGTTATGGGACTTTAATGGCTCCACTACAAAAGACCATAGTCCAGTTTTAAGAGGAGCAACTTCACTTCAATTTTTATACTCTGTGGCTTGTCTGCAAACTGACCACTCCGAAATCAATCATTTATACAATTGGAAATTAATAAGAAATTAATATCTAAGGTTGGCTTCGAAGCTTGTTTATTCTTAGACCCAAGATTCTATCATATTCTAGACAGCTCACAAAGAGAAAGAGCAATCAGTTTCTTAAAAACATTGTGGGCACAAAACAAAATGCACACTCCCATTGCAACATTTTCATCGTCTACTAGCTCAATCACTTCAGAGGACAACAATAGTATAAGTAATTTTGATATTTTGGATGACTTTTTATACCCTTGCAGAGGGTATTATAATTTTGTCCAACAGTGTGCAATGGAGTGAAGGATACATCTCCGACCATATAAAGTATATATATTCTTGATCAGAATCACCTCCTGAGTTGATATGAGCAGGTCCGTCTGTCTGTCCGTCTGTCTGTCTGTTTCTACGCGAACTAGTCTCTCAGTTTTAAAGCTATCGTCTTAAAACTTTGCACATACCCTTCTATGCTTTGCACGCAGTATATAGGTCGGAACGGCCGGGACTATATTATTTGCACTATAGTCGGCCGGGCCGACTATATTATATAGCTGCCATATAACTGATCGATCGGAAATGGTGTTACTTTGGCATAATTTTTGGCAAATAATACGACATGCCAAATTTTATAAGGATAGGCCGACTATATCCTGTAGCTGCCATATAACTGAACAATCGGAAATTACCCAACTTTCGTGTTTTTGAAGATAGAAAGCTGGAACTTCATACAGATTGAATTTTTGGTCAGTTGATCCAACCTACCGAATTTCAAATAAGGATCGGCCGACTATATCTTATAGTTGTAGTTGGTAGAAATATCAACTTTCGCATTTTTGGAGATAGAAGCTTTGGACTTTTTTTAGGTTTTGTATTTTAATTAATTGGTTTTATTATGATATTATCATAAGAATCGGTCAACTATATCCGATGTTTACGATAGATATCGGGTTTTAACTGCAAGGGTATATCTAGTTCGGCTCCGCCCGAAGTAAGCTTTCCTTTCTTGTTAAGTGTAAGCGTTGTGCCAAATGAGTCAATCGATGTACATGCAAAGATTGAATCACTAAAATTACCGTATATGAAATCCAGTACAAATGCTTTATATTTTTTGGAAAGAGAGGAAATCATGCGATTCAGAGCTCTATGAACTAAGCGAACTATGTTTTGCTTTACCGCCAACTCAATTAAGAACTATTACTTCATGCGAAACAAAATTTAAATTTCCAAATATTTATAGGTAACAATAGAGCGGGCATTTTCTTCATTAAAACTGGTGTTGTCGGAGAAAAGAAATTGTTTAAGCCACGACACATTAGACAATATACTCTACGATTAATTATTTACTAAATAAATTTTTGAATAGAATAATAAATACATGACTGAATAGCATAATTTTTTAATTTTGATTTAATAAGGAGTTATTAATATTTTTTTGTTTCAGAATAAACTAAATATTAAATATTAAATATTATTACTTATTAATATTTATTATTACCCAAAAAACATTCTTAAAAGGTAAAGAAAGTGGGCAAGGAAGAAAAGAGGTAAAGAAAGTGGTCACACAGTGACGGTGCATTAAAAGTATGTGAGAAAAAAACAAAACTACGCTAGAGCAGTAGCACATAAATAATATATTTTTTTGCTCTTCTCTGCTCTCGCTGTAGATTTTTGGCTTCGGCTACGGCTACAAGGAGCACAGAATACTTTTTTCTGCTATTGCTATAGCTATAGCTTTGAACTTTGCGTAGCTCAGAGCAGAGTAGAGCAGACAATTTTCTTTTTTCTGCTTAGGCTCCGTTCCCGCTCTCGGAAAAAGTGACAGCGGTAGCAATACCAGAGCCATATTTCTATGCATCTCGCTGCTACGGAGTAGTAAATGCAAACCCTGCTTACACCGTAATGAGATGAAGCGATACGATTTGGAATTTTTCTATAATACAAACGCAAATAAATTTCGTTTCTAAATTTTGCTACGCATTTTGGATTTGGAAGGACTGAATCAATTGTTAGACACGGACCTGAGTTTGAACTTGCTAGCGTACAAAGTGCGATTAAAAGCAGGTTTTATCAAGAGTAAACATATAAAAATCGATGTTGCATCAACAAATAAAGAAAGCAAGTTTTTCGGTAGACAAAACAAAATTTTTAATTACACCTCGCATATATTTTTTATATGTTAACTTTGGACTTGCTTGAATCAAGCAAAAAAAATTAATTTAAAGAGATTTAAATTTATGGATGTTTGACATCTACTACATTGGTAATGCATCGCTAATTCTGTACTTCTTGGTTTTTTCATATTCGAAAGTAGGAACTGAAAGGATCTGTTCATCATGGCTAATCCATGTTACACAAAAAGACGTTGAACTACATACTTAAAAAAAAACAAGAAAGGAAAGCTAACTTCGGGCGGAGCCGAAGTTTATATACCCTTGCAGCTAAAACCGGATATATATCGCAAACATCGGATATAGTTGGCCGATCCTTATGAGAATATAATAATATAACCCAATTTATTATAATACAAAAACCAAACCTAAAAAGGTCCCAAACTTCTATCTTCAAAAACACAAAAGTTGGGTCATTTCCGATTGTTCAGTTATATAGCAGCTATAGGATATAGTCGGCCGATCCTTATGAAATTTGGCATGTCGTAATGTTTTGCCAAAAATAGCTCTCGTGTCAAATTTGAACTCTCTAACTCTAAAAACACCAAAGTTATACCATTACCGATCAATCAGTTATATGGCAGCTATAGGATATAGTCGGCCGATCCGGGCCGTTCCGACTTATATACTGCGTGCAAAGGAAAGAAGGGTGTGTGCAAAGTTTCAAGAGGATAGCTTCAAAACTGAGAGACTAGTTCGCGTAGAAACGGACAGACAGACAGACGGACAGACAGACGGACAGACGGACATGCTCATATCAACTCAGGAGGTGATCCTGATCAATAATATATATACTTTATAGGGTCGGAGATGTCTCCTTCACTGCGTTGCACACTTTTGGACAAAATTATAATACCCTCTGCAAGGGTATAATAACTTTATCTTATAGAATTTGTGACTTGGATAAATCTGTATGATTATTATGAATAAAAAAAGGCGAAATAGCAAAGTAAGCTAAAGTCGATAAATTGCATCTTGGCTTTACTTAAAGTTGGTCTGACCCGG